TTTTTTCGGCCATGCACGCAAAGAGAGAGAGAGAGAGAGAGAGAGAGAGAGAGAGAGAGAGAGAGAGAGAGAGAGAGAGAGAGAGAGAGAGAGAGAGAGTAATCCCTCTCACTCTTTCTTTCTCGGGGGGCGTGACCCTGGCTTTTTTGCATCCATGGCTTCTCACGATCCACCCGTCACCACCAGGTGTCAACGAAAGAAAGCGTTTCAGGGCAAATCTGGACCGCTCATACTGACATCCAACAATGGAAATAGGGCCACAACCACCAGGGTCAGGCCCCGCAGCTGATAAAAATTAGTAGCTTTTAGTAGATACCCAACGGAACTAATAAGAAAAATCAGTGGGGGTGCCACTTGGACCTAAAGCATGCTCCCGTTTCGCTCCTTAGAGGGGAACATACCGCACCTTGCCCTTGGGTTCCTAAAGTCATATGCCGCCCTGTCGCAGCGCTTCTTCTGGAAGGAGATGCGGAGTGATCTGCTGCACTATGTCGAAACCTGTGAGCTCTGCCAGAGAAATAAGGTCCAGCGTAGACCTCCTCTGGGACTGCTCAAACCCTTACCCATACCTGATGGTCCTGCTGAATCTGTGTCTATTGACTTCACAGATCTAGGCAAGACCACCTCTTGTGGCATGCGTCAAGTAATGGTCTGTATGGACAGGTTCTCTAAGTACGCAGAGTTCATCCCCTTGCCTGAAGTAGCTAGGGTCCCCGCTGTGAGAGCAGCGTTTTCAGAGAGGTGGGTCACTCACCATGGACCGCCCACTTCTATAGTCAGTGATCGAGATCCACGATTCTGCAGCAATGAGTGGCAATCCTACTGCAAGGATTACCTATACTCACGACTGGACATGATTTCTTGTCGTCATCCTGAAGCCAATGGTCAGGCAGAAGTGACGAACCAGGTCCTGTTCCAATTGCTCCGTCCTGTCATCTCCCCAGATCAACAGGACTGGGATCTCCACTTAGCTCGGGCACAGCTTGTCTATAACATGTCTATCCATTCCTCGACTGGGTTCAGTCCATACCGTTTGCACTGGGGACGTGAACCACAACAGCCTCTCGATGATATCATCGATAAGGCTAAGTCTGATCTGACACTAGGCACTGCAGAGTTTGCCAGACGCTATCGCATAGATGTGGAAAGAGCACGGGCGAACTTGTTCAAAGCCCAAAAGGCTATGATTGAACAAGCCAATCGCCATAGGCGGCCTTCCCCCATCCGTACTGGTGACTATGTCTGGGTGGCCAGTTCTGAGTTGTCGAGGGAGGAGGATATTTCTCCCAAGTTGCTGCCTCGTTATTTGGGTCCATGGCAGGTCTTAGATACAGTGGGTTCCGATCCATTTGGCCCGTCATACGTCATCGACATCCCACTGCATCTGCAGACCTATCCGGTCTTTCATGCATCCAAGCTGCTCCCCTTCACCTCAGCTGAAACGTTCCCAGACCGGCCTCCTCAGTTTGGTCCACCGCTCCCTGGCAAGGGATATGACGTGGAATCCATTGAGGATGAGTGGGGCACTGGTGCCGACCGACAGTATCTTGTGAGGTTCAGCTTCCAGCCTCATACTGAGGACATATGGTTTACCCGGAAGGAACTTCTCAAGACAGCAAAGTCAGTGGTTTTACGTTACGAGGCGGCCCAGAAGGGAAACCTTCCTCGTCGATCTCCTCGT